CTTCTTTGTGTCAGGCATGGGCGAGATTCTGGGGATACAATGACAGCAAAAATAACTTAGAAATATATGATGACAGAGCATTTTTTCTGATTTAGAAAAAACTCACCAAATCAAGCTGAATATATTGATCAACGTCCACCCTGTGATAAAAGGTGAAGATGATTAGAGAATTCACAAAATGCTCTTTCTTACCTCCATTTTTATTCTGCTGTAAAGACTCAGGTATTTTCTTATCAAGATGACTTGCTTTTCCGTTATTCCATAAAGGAGTTCCAAAGAGTAAGGCTTACATTTAAAGGATGGCATTTGAATATTTTCTACATAACTCAAGCACCATATCAATTGAGTAATGGCCAAGAGCTGGTTTAAAATCTCTTCTGTAATGGGAGGAATTCTGTGGTAGAGGAAGGGGGAGCAGGGGAACGAAGGAGTAACACGGATGCAAGAATTCCAGATCAATTCATCCATAGTTTAGTGACCCAAAACGTCCCATGTCTTGTTTCATTTCTAGCTTTTGTTACTATCATTTGCTCACTTAAAGATTTTCACTTGATGCCCAAACCAAAGGAAAATTTGGGGAGGCATCTAACCCTAGGCAAGGGGACTGTGTCATCTGGTTCCAAAATGATGCTTTCTATAACAGTACGTGGTATCAGGGAGCAGGCAGTGGTCCATGCAGCTGTGCGAGGCCTTACTGGCAGATGCAATTCTTTCTCAGAGGCATTGAAAATCTTTCAGCTACCATGCATGTCTCAGCTCATGTCATTTGGCTGACAAGCAGTGGTGATACAAGACTACTCATGCTAGTGGCCAAATGAAGGCTTGGCTTATTCAGCCCATTCTCCACCAAAAGAAAGAAATGGTCAGAGAAAGCCAGAGGGTCACCAGGAACCTAAAATTTTGCCTGGATTTTTAATAAGATTGGGAGCGCAGGGCTGCTGGGGTCTTTGACGAGAGGAACTCTTCCCTGGGTTAGAAGTGCAATAGTTGCCAGCCTTCTGGAGTGGCTATCAGGAAGATGGAAGTGGGTGGCTGTGAGTTCCTAGGGCTCCAGGAGCTTCCTTATCCTTCATGTCTTGGTTCAGTTGTGATTACTTCCCTGAAAGCTTCCTTAATTTCCTAACTTGGAGTAATTTCTCTCTTCTTTGCAACCAAGTCCTCTCCTCTGCCACTAAGTATTATGTCTCTTACATCGTATACATGTCTGGGCTTCATAACTGAGCCTCCTGAGGGCGGGATCCGCACTGGATTCACGCGTGTGTACCTAACTGCCCTTACTGTGCCCAGAACAAACTAGGTATTCAAAAAACATTAATGAATATGTGGGTCAACGTGACTGAAGAAGACCTGACATTCCTCAGTTAAGTAGATGGTAGGTCACTAACTGCAGAGCAAGAAGGGTTTACTGTGGGCTTGGCAGGGAGTGAGCTCAGGGACAGCTGGGACGAAGCTGGGTCTACCAGCCCCGTCAGTTCAAGCGCACACAGAGGAGCACACTGAAGCTGGGGTGTAGCCTTCCAAATCATTACCCCTGTGACTATTTGTCCCATACTTCATTAAGATGGCTTCCACGCCAAACTGGTACCTTGGCAGAAATAGTATACTTTTTCTATGCAGGGCTTTTTTTAGTGTTATTTTATTGTATAACCCAACCAGGCAGGTCCACTATTAGAATCCTCATTGCACATGCTAGGATGCTGAAGCGAAGTGGGTGAATCACTCCAAGTGCTCTGTCCTCACATCCCTAGGTATCTGCTGCCTCGTAATTAGAGAGTGCTAGAAGAAATGTTCTTCCATTTTCCTTGAGAGTGCCCTCAGTTCAGATACGAAAACCAAACTTATACTCATCATTTTGTATGAAATCAACGTTTCAAAAAACACTTTGAGGTCTCATGTAAGTCCAAGTTATTACCATTAATCAAGTGACATCACAGGGATTGTCCTATTTTATAGACTCATTGTATTAGGGTATTAAAGAAGGCCCGATGCATCAGCTAGCTTGAGTATGGTGACGTGTTTGATAGTGTTCTGAGTCTTTTTCATTAAATTTGATTTGGCTTGGATGGTAATATTGTAGTCTTCTATACAAATGCAGGTAAATGAAGTTAATAATACATTAAAATGCATCATACTGGAAATCAGGGAGGAGGGGAATAGTCATTGAGTTCTCGCAGGGACTAAAGTTCAGTTAATTAAAAAAATAACTTGATTCTCTATCTATATGAAAAATTTACCTTTAAAATACAAATCTATTGCAGTTCAATTTTCTGTATTTTGGCTATTTGCTGCAGAGGAACACTAGTGTTAAACATAATTAAAGTATATCATAAGATTTTCACTGTTTTATAGAGGAGGAACATCAGGCACACTGAGAAAAATACCTAGTCCAGGCTCTCTGGAGAATCACTGGTGGGCCAAATGACAACCCACAGTCTTGCCTGGACCTCTAAAATACACTTCCCAAAAGGGTGATGATACTTTTACTGTCTACAAGTTATGCGAAGAATGAAACACAAAATATTTCAGAAACTGAAAACCCTTTTTTAAAAAAAAGTTATTTTATTGAGCATACATTGGTTGTAACATTATATAAATTTCAGGTGTACATCACTATATTTCGACTTCTGTATAGCCTACATCGTATACACCACCAAAAGTCTAGTTGCCATCTGTCACCATACACATGAGCCCCATTACCCCTTTTGCCCCGCCTCACCCTTTTCCCCTCTGGTAACCACCATTCCGTTCTCCTTATCTATGTGTTTATCTTCCACATGAGTGAAATCATACGGTATTTGTCTTTGTCTTACTTATTTTGCTTAGCGTAATACACAAGGTCCATCCATGTTGTTGCAAATAGCAGTATTTTGTCTTTTTTGTGGCTGTTATTCCATTGTATATATATACCACATCTTTATCCCTTCACCCCTTGATAGGCACTTGGGTTGCTTCCAAGTTTTGGCTATTGTGAATAATGCTGTGATGAATATAGGGGTACATATATCTTTTTGAATTACTGTTTTCATGTTCTTTGGATAAATACCCAGAAGTGGAATATCTGGATCATATGGTATTTCTATTTTTAATTTTTTGAGAAATCTCCATACTGTTTTGCATAGTGGCTGCACCAGTTTGTGTTCCCACCAGCAGTGTATGAGAGTCCCCTTCTCTCCACACCCTCTCCAACGCTTGTTGTTTCATGTGTTGTTAATTGTAGTCATTCTGACAGGTGTGAGGTGATATCTCATGTGGTTTTGATTTGTATTTCCCTAATAATTAGTGATGCTGAATATCTTTCCATGTGCCTTTTGTCCATCTGTATATCTTCTTTGGAAAAATATCTGTTCCTACCCTCTGCCCAATTTTTGATTGGGTTTTTCGTTTTTTCGTTGTGAGTTATATGAGTTCTTTATGTAGTTTGGAAATTAACCCCTTGTCAGATATATAATTTGCAAATATTTTCTCCCAGTTGGTGGGTTGTCTTTTCATTTTGTTGATGGTTTCCTTTGCCGTGCAGAAGCCTTTTAGTCTGATGTAATCCCACTTGTTTATTTTTTCTTTTGTTTCTCCTGCCTGAGGAGGCATGATATTCAAAAAGATACTGCTAAGACCAATGTCACAGAGTGCACTGCCTATGTTTTCTTCTAGGAGTTTTATGGGTTCAGTTCTTACATTCAAATCTTTAATCCATTTGAGTTACTTTTTGCTTATAGTGTAAGATAATGGTCTACTTTCCTTCTTTTTTTTTTTTTTTTGGTGAGGAAGACTGGCCCTGAGCTAACATCCGAAGCCAATCCTCCTCTTTTTGCTGAGGAAGATTGGCCCTGGGCTAACATAAATGCCCATCTTCCTCTACTTTATATGGGATGCTGCCACAGCATGGCCTGACAAGCAGTGTGTCGGTGTGCGCCCGGGATCTGAACCTGCGAACCCCGAGCTGGCCCTCTACTTTCATTTTTTTGCATGTATCTGTCCAGTGAAACCCTTTTTTAAGTCACTAAAAGTTTGTTATGTCTACATTAAAAACCACACAAACATGGGTCCATACTGGGCACTTTTACTTATAGTTAAAGAAAACAAAATAATTAGCATTTATTTAGACTGTGAAAACATGTTTGTATGAAAACAAGTATTTTGTCATCAGTCTATTTTCCATACTTTTTGCAACTGAGTGTAAGATCTTTATATTTTTCATTTTTAACAGGGATTAGAATTTTAACAGTTTTAGAAATATAAAAAAGATGGCATTAAAATGTCCTATACATTGGTAATCTTATCCCAAGAACTCTGCATGTTTATCTTGTGTTCTGAGGTACAGTCTTCATAGAGACTAAATCAGAGTGAGACCAGACAGAACAAAATAGAAAAGGGAAATATTCATGTCAGCTGTTAAAAACTAGTTTTGTAAGGCAAGGCCTAAAAGCCCTTATCTCTGGCATGTTAGTATGGAACGCATAGTTGATTTTCATTCAGCTTCTAGAGAAAGGTATTCTACAATGATAGACAGTCTTCTCAAAATTACAATTAGCTGGCTTCCTCCGCAGGGAATAGCAGCTGGTTAAGTAAGACTGAAGTGAGAGCTCTTACCAGGTTTCTCAGAAACGATTTTTCCATTGTGAGTATTTGGCCAACTGGTTAGGTCTGGCATGAACATGTGATTTCTAAAAGAATGAGCTGGGATCCGCTTACATGTTTCAAAGGAGCACCTAGTAAAACCTGATCTCTAAGCAATAAATCATCAATTTATTTAATTTTTAAGAAATCCCTTTAAGATTAACATGCTCATTCTGCTTAGATTGTTAAGAGTGCTTTTTATTGTGTCTAAAATTTTGCAATAAGGTGAAATAAAAAATTAAAAAGTGGTTTCATAATACATGGAAGATGAAATCTCATATTTATAGCATATAGTTTGATTCTTATATATGCATGATTAATCAAAATTGTGTTTTTAAACAACTTGATATTTTTCAAATTATACTCAGAAACACTACTGTGTACCATTTATTTTAACATTGATATTTTTAGGATTAGCTTTATTAACAGTATGACATTTTCATGCATTCTTAAATTTTACACTACTTTTAACATTTACAATGTTTGATTAAATTCAAATTAACAAATATTCAAGCCTACATGAGAAAAAAATGAAATGAGATTACCTTTATAAATTATATAATCAGCTAAATTCTTTTTAAGAGTAAAAAATTAATATTGGGATTTAAAAACCTAAATTTCCAATGTTACTGTTAATTCAACCACATACATATTACTTAGGCCACAGGACTGCCCATGAGCCTCTCTTGTCGGAGAGCAATTAATCTCTTGAACCACTTTTCCTCAGCATCAGCTTTCTCAATAAATAACTGAAATAAGAAAAAAAAAAAAGGAAAAATGTTATTGTCTGGCAATAACTTGGATTTGACCTTACATGATACAAATCACCTTTATAGAATACATTTTTCAGCACAAGATTTGGATACTGTTTAACTCTTGATGACTTCTTAACTGAAGATCATCTATTTGGAATTAATAACGCTCAGAAAGTCTTGAAGTAAATACCAACATCATTGGTTAACAATTTTACACCTTATTTTGTGAAGTTTATTTCCTCCAATCCTTCTGAGAGACACAGTGAAATGACACCATTTCATAAAAGATAGCAAAATATGTTAGTGACATGCTCACAGTCAATGAACCAATGAGAGCTGAGCCAGAATTAGATCTTTTAGTGCCAGACTAAAAACAAAACAAAACTCTTCTTTTTTGCTATTTTTATTAACCATAGAAAGAATACTTCTAGAAATCAGGCAACATGAGTTGGACCACACTAGATTCAAATACATGTAACAGCTCTAAGGACTGGGGGTTGGTTGCCTATTTTTAGCAAATAGGAACATATGAATCCATTCCTCCAATGGTCTTCTTGTTGCAGCACAAAAGAACAACAGTTTGACTTAATTTCAGTCAACTAGACTTCAACTGACATTCTTAAGGTTTAAGCATCTTACATTTGGATGGGCCAGAGAATTGTCATCTTGGTACTTGATAGCAGTAGGGATGCTGCTGGGGTCTATTTCTTTTTCATTACTGGGTGGATCAGCAACTACTGATGCTGGCCCTGACGCTGCAGTTGCATGCTTCACTTCACTAGGTTCCACTGACTGAAACATAAAACACATATTATTAACTGGATCACAATATACAATTAGAATTTTGCTTTAATAATATTTCTGATTTTGAATAATTGCTCAATTAGTCTCTCCTGTGAGATGATAATCACAAAAAGGCCCTAGGTTATTGAATAAGAAACAATTATTCCTAAAACAAGCAAACAAATACAAAAACATTGGGAGATGTTTATCATTTCTTATGATCAGCATATTTTTCTTAAGAAGTTCATATTTATGAATCTATACTATTGAAAAAATATATATTTCACATATCTAAATTCTATTAATCAAAACAAGCTTGCAACAAATCTCTAGCATTCAGTTGGCCTCTTTAGGTATAAAAAGCAAATGCAAAGGTTATTTTGTTTTTGTTTTTTTAATAACAGACTTACTGACATATAATTTAAATATCATAATTTATACAGCTTTTAGCATATCCACAGAGTTTTGCAACCATCACTACAAGCAACTTTAGAACATTTTCATCATCCTCCTAAAAAACCCCATACCTATTAGTAGTCACTGCTCCCCATTTCTCCCCATCCCTAGGAAACAGCTAATCTACCTTCTGTCTCTATGGATTTGCCTATTCTGGACATTTCATATAAAAGGAATCATACAATATGTGGTTTTTGGTGACTGGCTTCTTTCATTCAGCATAATGTTTTCAAGGTTCATCATGTTTTAGCATGTATCAGTACTTCATTCCTTTTCATTGTTGAATAATATTCCATTGCATAGAATATTATGTGCCAGGCACTGTACTAAGTGCCGAGGACAAAAAGACTAATAAATCATTGTACCTGCCTAGAAGGAGCCAGCAGTGCAGTGCTAACTCAAGTTAATTCCAATGTCTCCTTCTCTGAGAAAGGAGTAGGCCAGGGAAGTGGCTGATTAGCAACAAGGTTGCAGAGATAATATGAAAAGGATTAAAGGAGAAGTCGAAATTAAAAGTTAAAGCAAAAAAACTCAAGATAATCAGGACATTAATTCCACTATTTAGCCTTTTATCTACACCTATTGTTTCCACACCTATAGTTTTTCAATTTCCATTTTCTTTTGACTTATCTATTTCTGAACATCCACTTCTCTGAATGAAGTGCATAACAGATGCCACTGGGAAAAACATCTAGAAAATGAAATATGCATGAATTAGTTAATTCTGTCTTAGAATAATTTATCTTAGAATTGGAGATCCATCTATTTAACCAGTATTTCTTGAGAACTACTAATTGCTAAGCACTGGGTACACAAGGGAGAATAAAACAGATATGTTCCCTGTCCCAACTGGAGATTACATTTTGCTAATGGGGCTGACAGATTACTAACAAATAGATATCAAAATAAATACATAATCACAAATTGTAACAAGTGACATAGGGATATTTAAAGAAATATTTGTTGAATTTAATTTGGCAGTTTTCTTCTTCTATTTTGGAGCCAATACTCTTTTCCCTCAGGTCTCAAATATTTCTATGTCTCCAACAGAGTGGGCTAAAGGCTCATAGCCCTAAGTGATATTATACTGACCCCTTATAAAACTGACGACATATAACAGTAAAGCCTAATGTTCTGCATAGGGAAGAGTGGGAAGTATGCTAATCCAATGAGGTCCAGGACATCATTTTTGGTATTCTATGTTGCCGTGCAGAGAATATAGGAGCATACACACAAAACAAAACAGAAGCAGACTCATAGATACAGAGAACAAACTGGTGGTTGTCAGAGAGGAAGCAGGTAGGAGAGTGGAGGAATAGGTGAAGGGGACTAAGAGGTACAAATTTCCAGTCATAAAATAAGTCATGGGGATGTAATGTACAGCACAGGGAATATAGTCAACAAGATTGTAATAACTTCATATGGTGACAGATGGTTACTGGTCTTAGGGTGACCATTTCATAATGTATATATATGTCAAATCAGTATGTCGTACACCTGAAACTAATACAATATTGTATGTCAACAATACTTCAATTAAAAAAACAAAAATACATAAAATTTCTTCCATAATAAAAAATTATTTTTTTAAAAAAAGCATGTTATTCTGCATATCTCAGCCATGCTTTGACAGGGCTTAGGTAGGAGACTGACTGTCTATGTTGAACTGCCTTGAAAACCTGTGGAGTGCTGTTATTCTAGTTGTCAACAATGTGGACCACACATGTTCAGGTGGCAGAGATAACATTCTATTATGAAACCCAAGTAATCTTCTGTTTCTACCTACACAGTACATTGAAGATTTTGAGAAGTGCTTACACACATATAAGGTAAAGTTTTCAGAGGTTGGATCAGAGCATGGAAGTTATTATTTAATAACAGGTAGCTTAAAAATGTGTGAGGAGAACCATTAATTGCTTCTTTATTTACGTGAGGAAAACTGTTAGAGAAAATTTGACTATTAAAAAAAACCCTCAACATGGCCACTATCAAACATCTGGCTTTGAGTAGCACTGCCACCTCGCGGTTTAGTTTGGAAAAACTTATTTTAAAATGTACTTCCAAGTGAAAGGACCATGCTGCTTAGGGTTATTTACCCTCTGTTTAAATAGAGGAGGATATCTGCTAGATACAACAATTTCAGGGTTGAATAACTGGTAATAAGCTTATCTGGGACAGCAGTTTGAAAAAAAGCTGCATCTTGGTTCCTGAAGTTGAGGATATAGCAGGAGATATCAAATTATCTACTCACACAAGAGAAATATGATTGCAGAGAGTTCAACTAGTTAAATCAACATGTGCTGCAGGAGACACAATGTCTAGCATGTCATTGGTAACAGCCACTTTTCTGGTAAAGCTCCCTAGCGTAATTAGTGGAATTAACAGAGCTAAAGAAAGACTCTACAAACTGAAGTGGTGGCTAGTATAGAAAAGCCTTTGTCAGAGATACAAACTTTATACCAATGTATGTAAAACTGTCGAGGAAAGAAAGACAGTGCAACTTGGGTCATGGGTAATTTTGTCCTCAAGACAGGTAGTCTTCGCTATGCATCAGGGAGAGACCATCATGTCTCCCCATCATCTGGATGAAATAGTCCTCAAGATAATTTACCTCCCTTTGCTAAGTAACCTCTGATAAATAATTCAGCTTCTGGGGCATCCTTATCCCCACCTTATATTGCAGACACAGACACTTTAGAAACTGGAAAGGGGTATCACTTTCTAAACTAATAAATTGGCCTTCTGTTTTATATTACAGTCGAGTGTGAATTTATTCATTGTTGGCCCACCACTGCTCTTCTGATCATTTTGAAATGCAGTGACTAATAAAAGTCCAGTGTTGGATGGCTAATACTTTAGATTATTGTACATTCACCAGGGTAAATGCCATCTTTTGAGGCTTTTTAGCATATTTCCCTGTTGGTGCCACTTCCTACCCTTCAATACCTGCTTTCTTTCTACTTCAACAGGGAACATGCATTGAGTTCACAATTATGAGAGACTAGTATTCGTGGTCTAGTATTAATAGTCTAGTATTAATGGTAGCCATTATTATTTTAGTTATTTGGAGTTATCTAAATATAAAAAAAAGTGGGACTAGGATACAACATTGTTTTACATCATTTGCTTAGTTCTTTAATGTTGAAACAAATTGGTCCAGAGCTGATGTCTGCACACGAAACCAGTAAGTTACTGTATAAAGCTGTGAAGTAATTTTTAACTATTTTCTCAGTAATGCAATAGGTCATCAAGCCTCAAATGAGGAGAATCTTAGGGTCTACAGACCATAAAAAAATTACATAAAACATTCTCTGGCCCAATTAAAATGGGAATCTTTGTATCTACAATTCCGCTTAAGGAAGCCACAGACAAATACAGCTCTCAGTGCTCAGTAAGTAGAGGAGCAGGAGCAGGAGGAGTGACAGCTCTCATTTCTTGAATACTTACTCTGTGCCAGGCACTTGGCTAACTGTTGCATATAAAGTATCTTGTTCACCCTTATAAAAATCTCTGCCACGGGTATTACCCCCATTTTAAGATAAGAGAACCAGGGTTCAATGATGTTATATAGTGTAAGGACATATAGCCAGTAAATGGCAGAATCAGAATGTGGTTCCAGGTCTATCTGACTCTACATTTCATGCTTTTGACCACTGCTTCCCAATTGCTAAACCCAAGATTTATTGTAATTTGGTTTTGATTTTAGAGGAAAGAAATAAAAATGTTGGTAAAATATTTTAACTAAATACATTTCTAAGTGGCTCAACTCACAGTGCTGGATTAATAATATTTCTAGTCTGCTTTTGCTTCTCTGTCATACTTATCCAACCTGGAACTAGCCAGTTATAGGCTTTCCAGAATTGATTTTATTTTTCTATGAATTATTGTTAAGGGAAACTTCTGTTAAAAGATAGTTGACACAGAAGATGGGTTTCTCTCACATAGATTTATGAAGGTTTCTTACAAAATGGAGAGGCCTCTGTTCCATCAATCCCTAATGTGGCATCTGAATTAGAAGTACAAGAAAAGCTATATTGAAGGTGAGAGTGAATTCCAACTCAGCACTAAAAACTAAAGCAAACAGAACCTAATTATTAAAATAACTAATAATGGCGGTCCCTTTAATCAGAGATGTAGGTGAAATTTCTTTATATAGGTCCCATGGGAAGCTATTTAACTATATACGGTTTTGTTATAGATTTGGGAAGGAGAGTTTTTCTCTTGGATTAGTTATCTTAAAATTAATAACTTTTAATAACTTATAGGAAAATAACTTTTTAAAACTTTTCTAGAGGATACAACAAGGTATAAACATTACTAATCTTGGAGTTCAAATATAAACATATTATTACATTTATGCATTTGAAAAGACTTTTAAGGTGAAACTAGATGTCTAAAGAATTTCTGTGTCTCTCAGCAAGAGATCTGTCTTACTGATGAGCATGGAGACTTGGGGAAAACAAGGGACATATTAGAGAAATGTAAAAGGGATAAGGTGTTTATACTTAAGGCAGATTGAGCACCTAGAATAGTAGAAGTTTTCAAGCACTATGCTTAGTTTATAGAATGTATTTAGATATCAAATAATTTAGATACTACATTATGTTATTTAAAAATAAACATTTTTTGTTGTTGAGGAAGAATCACCTTGAGCTAACATCTGTTGCCATTCTTCCTCTATTTTGTATGTGAGAAGCCACCACAGCATTGCTGATGAGTGGTGTAGGTCTGTGCCTGGGATCTGAACCTGTGAAATTGGGCCACCGAAGCAGAGCGCTCCAAACAACCACTATGCCATGGGGCCGGCCCCTAAAAATAAACATTTATTGGATCAAGAACAATGCTAGATATTTAATAATCATTATATTTAATCTTCAACAACTCCAAAAAGTAGGTATAATTAGCTCTATTTTATGAATTTGGAAACCGAGGCCCAAAGAGGTTGACAGGCTTGCTCAAGATCATAAATCATGGTAGGAAGTGTAGGAGTTAAGATTCAAACACAGACCTCTTAGAGCCCAAAGCCCATGCTCTTTCCAGTATGACAAATAGGCTTTTGATCAATTTCCTTACTCATTGCCAATTTCACCAGTTATTGGAAGAGCTGCTAGTATCTTAGAGGAGAGGAATAGAATTAAAAATAAGTTTATTATATTAATAATTAGTACCAAAAGGAAAAAGTTCTTCAGAAGAAAACCCAGTGTATTAACTATGGAGGACTAAGTGTCTCCACAGAAGGAAAAAGCTAGTTTATCTTAATTGAGTCCAGTAAGAACTGGCAAGTCAGGGTGAACTTCAGAAAACGAGTACTAAGAAAGCAAATTTTAAATAAATTACAATTCTATTAGGACCTATGAGTGACCTTTTAATATGTAAAAATAAGATATTAAATAAAATGGGCAACTATATTTATGAATGTCCATTTCACAGCTCCATTTTTTATGAGTCGGGGAGGCAAGCTACAAGCAGTTCAAATGAAGTCAACAACATGACAAGGCAGGGACCATGGACGAACCCAGGCTGCCTATGCTGTGCGCCGGACATGCAGCACATGCTCAATTCGTGTCTCCAGAAGGAGTTGTTTTCAAAAGTATATGGCAATTGAAAAGATGTTCATCTCACCAGTAACAACAGAAACGCTAATGGAAACACAACAGGTCAGTTTTCACCCATCAGGTCAGCAAACCTGAAGAAAGTCTGAGAGGCCTTTGTGTTACCAGAGTGTGAGAGGTAGACACCTCCTTACACTTCCGGGTGGCATTTGAATTGTACAATGTTTTTGAAGGATGACTTTGGGAACATGTGTGAAAAAAACAATATTAACCTTTAACAAATAACTCCGTCTTGAAAAATTTATCTTAAGGTGATAATGGATATTTGCAAAAATCTATGTGTGATACCTCCAAACTTACAAGTACTTCAATATCCACTGTCAGAGAAAAAAATAAATGAATTATGACACATTCATCAGCAGGATACTATACAGTCATTAATATATTTACAGATGTAGAATACTATTTTTGAATAAGCGGTAACTATACTATGTCTTCATTATATGTATGTTATTAAATACATGTATTTCATAGCAGAATGCCTTTTCCTACTAAAGAAACATAAACGCCTAAATGCAGCCCTGATAATAACTGAAAGAATACATGAAATATTCAACAGAAATGAAATGCCAATCAAAGCTCCTTTTACTAGAGTTGAATAAGTGATGCCCATCTGGGCAAAGAATATCGATATACGTTACAATTTGGGTCATAATTTTATTGTTAAAGCCCTTTTCTAACTTTTCTCTAGCAACATCAATTCAAAAAGCAGATGTATACATCTGAAAGAAAAACTGTATTACTGTTATAGAAATGTCATGTTGACATTTTATTTTGTCTTCTCGATGAATTTTAAAATAAAAATGGCATCAGATACACTTTTGTATATTTTTTTATAAGTTAAACTTGAACGGATTCTCACTGATTCATTCTCTCTCTTTCTCAATAACATGCTGATACTCTCTTGCCTTATTTTATCTATTAGAAGAAGCACTTATATTTAAGCAAAATCCATTAATAAAGCATCTCTTCAATTGGAATCTAAAGGCTTATTCATAATGCCTGGATGAAAACTTACCTTTTTGACTTCTTTACTTGATCTGAATGTCTGCTGAACAAAAGAATCACTTTCAATGGCTTCAATTTCTTTTACTCTTTTTACTTGTTCTACCAGGGTGGCTTGGTCTATAAAAAGAGGCTATAATGTCAGTGTGTTTTGGTGTATAAGCTTGTTAACAACACTATACCATTATATATGAAGTAATTTTACAATTTATGAAATTTTACTGGATGAAAAGAAAAGACATGATAGTTAAGCTATAACAAGAAACTTTTTCTCCCCTAAGATACACAAATATAACATTCCTACACACTAAGACTTTCACCTAAAACCTAAAACATTGCTGAGAAAGCACTGCTATCATGATCCAAGCTAATCTGGGTTAATCCGGTGGGAGCCCTTTTGAAACAAATTAAAAAAAGACTATTATGAAAATACACATACAATAAGAGCACAATGAATCCACCCACACTCATCACCCAGTTTCTATAATCATTAACTGTTATTCTGATTTAATCTATCCATCCTCACTTCAGTTTTTTTGGGTGGACCTGGAGTATTTAAAAGTAAATCCCAGACATCACACCATGTTACCCCTAAATATTTTATTAGGCATCTCAGATAAGGGCTTAAGAAAAAAAAAACAAAACAACGCAGCAATGTAACTACAATGCCATCTTCACATCCAACAATATTATCAATAATTCCTTATATCATCTTATACTATACATGTTTAATTTTCACTGATTGTCCAAAAAATGTTTTTACATTTGGTTTGTTTGAAACAGGATCCAAACAAGGTCAACACAATACACTTGATTGATAAATTTCTTAAATCTCTTTTAATCACTTACAGTCCACCATCCCTCCTTTCATTGACATTTATTTATTGAACAAAACGGATCATTTATCCTTTAAAATTTCCACCTTCTGGATTTGGCTGATTTTATTCTCATGGTGTCATTTAACATGTTCCTCTATCCCTCATATTTTGTGCAAACCAGTAGTTATATCTAGAGGCTTGATGAGATTCAGGTTCAATGTCTTTTGATCAAGAATACATCATAGGTGGTGCTGTGTAATTCCTATTACTTCGTATCAGGATGTGCTTCTCCCACTTTTAGAGATGTTAAAATTGATCAGTGTGTCCAAGGTGATGTCAGCCTGACCCTTCTATTGTAAAGATCTCCATCAACCTTTCACTTAATGGTTTTAGCAGACATTAATGTTTGTTGCTTAGACCCATTATTTCATTAGAGGTTGCAAAATGGTGATTTTCTAATTCTATTATTCTTCCTGCATTTATTAACTCTGATTCCTCTATAATGAAGAATTTCCCTCATAGACTGTGACTGTGAGGGAAGTGTGGTGACTGTGAAATATAGTCTCTACAGGAAAGGGAGAATAAATGTTTAATTCTTTCACTTTATTTATCAATTTTGGTCCAAAGATAACTATTATGAGTTCATGAATATTTATATATTTGATATATTTCAGTCCATGGTAGTCATTTTCATATTTTGATACCCAAATTATTCTACTTTGGGTAGTGGGTGAGTTCAACTTGGCTCCTGCAGCCTTTTGATATGATCCCTAGTAGTTACGGCATGACAAGATGTTCCAGGCTCATCTAGTACAGTTCTTGTCCCAGACCGGAAATTAGCTGTTTCTCCCAAGAGCTCAGACTCCTTTTAGCAGGGAATGATATTTAGAGACAATAACCGGGGCACTAGGGGTGTTCATTGTTACTGGATTATGATTGCTTCTCAGCCTTTTCAGTAGGTGGGGAAAAAATACATATTTTTAGAAGAGAAAAATTAATATGAATTCATGCTGATACTACCAACCAAATTAAGGACTATAGGACTTTTAGTTAAAGTCTTTGATTTTATATTTGTATCTTTTCTCATACTCTAAAAACTTAGGCCTTAATGATATGATCAAAAGTACTTATTGTTTTTCCTAATATTGAGCTGAGTATGTATTAGTTACAAAATAATAAGACAAACATTACTATTAACAGCAAGATGAATTAATGCAGTTTAAAATTTCTTTATCATTCTTTTTGATCTTAGGATTTATTCCACTGATGAACTGTCAAAACACTATGCTCTAAAGTCACTTGAAATAATTCTCCATGTGATTATGCTACCAACTTGATATAGAGTTAGATTAGGTTCATTTGTTTCAGTTCATTTTTTACTTTTAGGTCTTGCTTCATTTTATTGCCTTTGTGATTAATATTTGTCTTTAAATTGCATAAAACACTTACATGGTTCTCAAGTAAAAACTTAAAACAACACCATTTCAAAGAAGTGCAGGTTTCCTTCCCTATCCCATTCTTCTAGCTGTCCCGTGAGTCCAGAGGTAATCATTTTTATTAGGTTTTGGTTTTTAGCCTTCCATTGTTTACTTCTGAAAATATAAGTGTACATATTCTCTCCTTTCTTACACAAGATTAGCATGCCACACATTCCTATGTGTATTACTTCGTTCATTTAACAATATGTCTTCACTATTACTCCACAGCAGTAAAGAGACTTCCTCATCCTGCTAAAGCTGTACAGTAATCTATTTTATGGTTTCATGATAGTTTTTTCCCACCAATGCCCTCCTGATGGTCATTTGACTTGTTTCTAGTCTTTTGCTTTTACAAATAGCCACCTGCATGTGTCATTTCGTATTTTTGTATTTTTTTCACATGTTAGGTGGGCACAAAAAATGCAACATCATGGTTCATATCCTCGCTGTTTAAACTCTTGCTGTAAGCTGATATGAATACATAGCTGAATTAGGAGCCACTGTATATTCAGCTGAGGCATCTAAAAATGTTGGGATTTTAGACTTTATAAATAAAAACTGGATTTGCTTCTAAGAAACAACTGTAATAACTGGTTTGTCAACAAGGTGGAGCTATTTGCATCAAAGTAATTTTTACATCCCACCCAGCATATCTAAGCTGAAAAGATTAAATGTTATAGAGAGAACGACAAGAAATTTTGTTTCGTAAGTTCAATAAAAATTAAGATTTTATGAAAAATTTTTGTCTCAACTTTTGGCCAATCACAAATTATAATTATATAGTCTTATGCAAGCTCCAGTTTATTCAAGGGAAAGATAGTGCTTCTGAAGATGTGTGCCTGACAGACGTAACCAGTCTTTTCTCATGTGAGAAACCATGCATGGAATCTTTGGAAGTAACAGCCCCCAGAGCAAACACTCTCACCTTTGGAAGGGTGTATTTTTCGTCATGAAAGCAAGCACTGTTAGAGTGCCATGGAAGAGCGAATAGTTCCACATGCTTCAGAAGAAAAGCTCCTGTGGAGTTTAATTATGCAATGTTCTAATGGAGCATGTGAAATGAGAGATTTTTGCCCAGCTAATTTATTAATATTAACACATGCCATACCAGTGGATAATTTTTTTATTAGTTACATGAATAATAGTGTTAATATAGCAAAGAAAAATTATAATGGATACCATTCCACATGATCCAACTTTAATTTGTCGGTATGAAAACACATTTGTTTGTATAGGTCTTAATTAGTCTCACTATTATTTCACAATCATTAATTCCCAACCAAAAGACAATGTTTCTGACTTAAGGATGATGTGTTATATGTATCAACTGTTTGACCCCTTGAATTTTTTCTCTAACATACTCTCTCATTTGGATTCACAAAGCACGTCGTCGTTAGTATCAAACGTCAGAGGTGAGCTCACCAACAGTACTTGATGTCTAAAGCTTGTAGTGTTTGTAGCTTTAAATATGGACGTATGACCAGCCAGTATGTTTAGCAAAGTAGCACTGGAGAAATTATAAAGGAAGGATGGAGAAAGATTAGAGAAAACCAGAACATTATCTTTGTGTTTCTTAAAAGATCACTTCAGGACTAACGAAGTGACAGGGTAGATAGGGGCAGGCCAGTTTGCCTGACTTACAATATGAAAATAAACCAACATAGCTTTTACCTTTCAATGTGGGAACCATTTTACTGGTGATATTTAAATTAAAGAATGTGATATTTAAACTAAAGAGCGTGATATTTAAATTAAAAGAGTAAGCGAGTGATATTTAAAATTTGTAAGATTTATGGATTTACATTTTCAGCCTTATAAATAGCTCAGCTCCATGCTGTCTGAAAACAACAGGCATAAAGAATGTTTTAAGGTGCTTCATACTCAAAATTCTAATATCAATGCCACAAATGTACGTCTTGAGTATAAATCTGTCATTTTTGGGAAGCAGAATAAAACACATCAATAATATATAGTAAATTGTTTTAAATTCAGGTTCTTAAGTTACACATGCCAATTTGTCATTTAAAAATTCTGTACCAGTTTTAAGACTAGGAAAAATGTGAATTAAAACTCGTTATTGTTTATATGCTCCGCATCAATGTCTAGCATAAAATGTATCTTGTACATGAGCTAAAAATAAAGATAGTGACAAAGTTACTGGGAGAATCAAAATTACAGAATGTTTTTAAACATTAACATGGTAAACCTGAGGGAAACATATCTATTAGCACTTGATGCTTTTTGATAAACATATCATTGGTAAATAAGATGACTTCCACAGGTTGTCTGCAGGATGTCAGTAGAAGGGATACATATTTCATAGTAAAATAAAAAATAATGGAGTCAGAAAGCTAAATCACCACAGACTAAAAAAGTCAATACTCACTGCAAGAAAAATCAGTGTTATGAAGAATTAAAATCAAACATTTTATTGGTTATTGTTGATGTTATATTATAAAAATTAGGCTCACCTGCTACTTCAAGTTATATCTGACAGTCAATTCTGCATGATACATTTACAGTTTTCTTCTAAAATATTATCAAATGGTTCACAAATTTAAGATTAGTAAATAAAGATGACAAGGTCCAATATAAACCTTTAATTTGAAAAGACAAAATTTTAATCGGTACACCATTTGTTGGTTACAAACATAATCCCACCTCCTCGGCACTGGCAGCAATGCTAGGCTGAGAACAGCAGAGGGTACTGTTACCCAAGATGTAATCACGGGATAAAAGACGCGTTTCACGAAAGGTATTTTACACATGAGAATCTCATCTTCAACTGATTCCTTTTGAATGTTAATATTTTATAAATTTCCCCAAAGTTAAAATGC